AGCAATGTTTAAAAGAGCGAAAGCGCAAAGCAAAGCGCTAGACCCTTTGATGAAGTGAGGCGCAAGCTTCAAAGGGTGAGGCGTAAGCTTCATGAGTTTAACTATTTTAATTTTAAATTTGTAAAAATTATGAACATATAATATATACTGGTGTAATAATTTACAAATATATACATTCATGTCTTGATTAATAAATAAGAATTAAATATGTGAAGTATAGAAACGAATCACAATAAACTAAGCTACATGCATAACATATATATTTTATTTACACTCAGATTGTCACATTCTAAATACATAAAGGCATTTTAATGTTAGTCAAAAATCCTCTTATATCTTTCTATCCCGTCTAAAGCGTGTGCTTCAAAAGAAAAGCGCTTAATGAAGCGCGAAGCGCACACTTCAATTATGCTTTAAGCGATGAGGTGTAGGCTTCAAAGGATAAATAGCTTCACTCTTGAGTTTCAAAGTGTTTTGCCCTCAAAACGTTTTGAAAAGCTTTATCAAACATTGATTTTACCCACCCATGTGCAAATTGCAGTTAATACTGTTAGTGGTATTTTTTTTTTTTTTTTTTTTTTTTTTTTTTGTGGGGGGGGGGGGGGGGGCTCATAACTCCTAAACTTAAGGAGGGTTTTCTGATATTTTGATATTTATTCAGGATCATCTAATAATCATCGAAAGTTAGGGTGGGTGGGTGGTTCTGAAATTTGGCCTAAATTCAAGTTTTCCCCCTCTATAAGGTGGGTGAAAGCCATCTTGCTTCATTTATTTTTCATGATGCCAGAACAATACATGGATATCAAAGGTCATTTGAATTGTTGACTCATATGGTGATGGTGTTCGGTCTACATTCACTGAACGCACAGAAAGTCATATCTAACACCAATTATCTACATATAGTAATGCATCTGGTGCACCTAGTATTTATACTCTCATGATTCTTCACCATCCTTGTCAACTCCAACACCAACAGAAAACTTTCCTCTACAACTTAGCAAATCTAAATCCAAAATAAATAACCAAGACATTGTTGCTATTGCTGATATAGGCAAGTAATATTTATATTATCTAACATTAAGCATGAAATGTCCTAATCTCAAGCGTCACCACATCCACATGAGAGCACAAACCCACTAAATAGGCCTTATATTGGTCATGCTACAATTTCTAGACTGATTACTTCTATACATAATGGTATTATTGAACCAAACTCAAAGTATGTCAACCTGGAGATATCTTCATTCTCTAAAGACTTAAGTATCTGGACAGACTATACTGGCCTTTTCACATTCTGGTCGATGAGCCAGTATGTAGAACTTTCTGCTTTGTGTTATAATCATTCATGGGACAAGAGGGCATGAGCATACTTGGTCCAACTTGGGTTTTGCACAAATCTCAAAACTGATGGATCCATTGATCAACTTAAGGACCTACTACTAAATTTAAGCAAGAAACCTATTATGTTATGATTATGTGAAGAACTTCCATTTAGACTCAAATGAACCATATAATAAACTATATCACACTTCAAATGTTAAATTTTTTAAACATGTTGTCCTATTGTAACGATGTAGCATAATGACGCATTCCATGCATTAAATAATTGTTTGATATAAAACAACAAAAATCAAAGTAGGCAGCAGAGTTAAAATATAACTTTGATAAAGAGGAAAATATGAAATCAAAATGATTCATCAATATTCTAGCAAATAATCTCAAAAATGTAGACCCAAATAATTACATCCTAATGAGGGAGGTGCCTTTCAATTGTGTTTCATACTCTTGCTCGAGGAGGCTAATTACAGTTAGAAACAACATTTTCAATCATAGCAAAAAAATTTAATTTAATTTAAAAATTAAAAAACCCTTTCATAAGAGGAGATTTGAAGCTGGCAAGTAATTTGACATGCAAGTCAAGTGATCATTCTACATGTCCTCTTGCGTCCTATATTTTCATATATTTAGCAGATTGAGCCATCAAAATCCAATAAACATCGGACTTCTTTATTTCTCAAATTAAAAAGAATAGCCCCTTTCTAATTTGAATAGTACCAAAAGGGTTTTTGACAGAAGGAAAGAATCAGTGCTTACCATGAAGCGCCATAGTTGATCACTGTCTGGAAAAGAAATCAGAAGAAGCATCAGATAACTGTAAGCACAAAGAAAACTGAGAGGGAGAGCGAGATTCGTACTGACTAGGGTTTTAGAGGTTCTGATGTCCTGCAGGATCTCCTTGAGTTGATCGTCGTTTCTAGCAATCTTCAGGTTGCTCGCCTTCTCCTTTGATTCCTCACCCATTTCTCTCTCTCTCTCTCTCTCTCTCTCAATTGGGTGAGTAAACAGGTCCGGTCTAACTCGGATCGGCCGGTCTAAATTCGGCACTGTTCGTTGCAGTGATAAAAAAAATATTCAAATAGACAAATTCCACATACTTATTGCTTAATAAAAATCGAACAATTGATATTAGGGCCTGTTCGTTTGCCTTAAAAAAATGGGAAATCAAAGAAATAGAAAACTATTTCTAAAAAAATGGGTTTTTGAATTGTTTGGTTGGCTAAAAAAAAGGGAATAAAAGAAATGGAGATGAGATGAGATGAGTTGTCACATTATTATTGGATGATGTGAGTGATTTTTTAAAAAAACTAGTTTTGATGTTGTTCGGTTGGCGAAAAAAATAAGGAAATGGATTATTAGAAACATATTTCCTGTAGTTTTGTTGTTTTCTTTTGTTTGGTTCATTCTTAAAAATAAGAAATGAAATGAGATGAGATGAGTTGTCATTGTATTATTGGGTGATGTGAAGAAAGATTAAGAAAAGTGTTTTCACAACTTTTTGGGATGAAAACAAAGAAATGAAATGTTAATGAGATGAGGTGAGTTGTTATAATATTTTATTCGATGATGTGAGTGATTTGAAATGATGAAAAGAGATGAGTTGAGTGATGTTTGGATAAAAATAATATTTTATTAGATGTGATGGATGAGTTGTTAGATGAAAATAATATTTTATTAGATGTGGTGGATGAGTTGTTAGATGAAAATAATATTTTATTAGATATGGTGGATGAGTGGTTAGATGAAAATAATATTTTATTAGATGTGGATGAGTTGTTTGATGAAAATAATATTTTATTGGATGTTGTGGGTGAGTTTTAGGGATGGAAATGGAAGAAATGGATTATTTTGAGATTTCCACCTTTTCCATTTTCATTTCTTGGTTTTTAGGAAATAAACGGACATGCCCTTAATATATTTAAATAGATGTTAAACCGTGTTTGCTTCTTCGTGGTGGGCCTGGGTTCGACTCCCGTGTACGCCAAAGGCGTGATCAATTTTAAAAATTTGTTAAAATCAATCAACTCTCTGTCAATGTCAGCAATGCACACTTCACACTGGATTGTCAATCCTGTAGAACTAATTACCCCACTAATCACATATGATTAGTGTAGCCTACTAATCACAAGGGATTAGCAATCATATAGATTCTCAAAACTATTTTTTTTAAATGAACCAATTTCTAGATTGCTAACTTAGAATATTAAATTATAAATAAAAATTTACACATCTTCGTGAGTTTAGATTTTGGCTTATAAAAAGGGCACTCAAAATGTGGGAGTGTGTTAGAATATAAAAGTATAAAACATCAGCTCTCACCACAACTTCGGAGTTTTTACGTAATAATTAGAGGTACTCTAAAACCGACGCATTGAAAGTTGATTGATTTGATAAATAAACATTAAAATATAGTTAGAGAGAATTTTATAGAACTGTGGTTTTGATTTATTTCAATTTTTTCTCCTGTTGAAAAACTTTTCCAAATATATTTGGTAAATTAAAAAAATTAAGGTTTGGACAATTGACGGAAAATTTCCTAAGGTCTTAAAAATGATATTCAATCTTCTTAGTTTTCATTAATTAACCTGAACGTTAAATCTAATATCATATGATATAATATGCACTCGCATATAAATATGTACAGGATTATCATATTGAAATTTGCTGATCAGCATAAAAAATGATGATTTACAATAAAAAATTTTTTGATTAATTGAGTTGAAATTGAAAGTGAACGGTTTAAAATGTAACTTTTAGAAGCTTGGAAAATTTTCTGCAATTTACCCTCTCAACTTCGTGTATTCAGAACAATATATCTCGATGTGATAATCGTTTATCCCAAATAGAAATAGACACTGGCCATATTTATATAACTAGTTGGATTACACGTGCAATGCACGTGGTAAATTGTTTTATTTATTACTTTGTTATTGATTCGTTTTATTAAGATTTATTTAAATTAAACCATGTATCAAACATATGGATAGAATTTAAAAATTAAAAAGGATGTATCAAACATATGGATAGAATTTAAAAATTAAAAAGGATTAAATAGATTGTTTGCGTCCTTAACAATAGAAAACAATGAATAATTTTATTAAAGATTGTTTGCGTCCTTAACAATAGAAAACAATGAATAATTTTATTAAAGAATTTTATTTGATATACACCACTGAGTTTCAATCAACCATCTTACAAGAATGAAATTCAAATGTAGCATAGGTCTACTGAAGCTAACTTATCACTGGCTAATAGCAATGACATATAGAACTATTGACTCATCAAAGCTTCTTTTGAATCATTTGCTACTCGAGTTTTTAGTAAGCTGGCTGCATTTTTGGCTTGTCCTAATGCATGGTGACGAGAAGGCTCTGTTAAGCAACCACTTGTTCTCCTTTTTTTACCACCTAAATGAAAGTTTTCAAGTACGAAATTTAGTAATTGCTAATCTAGAAAATATTTTTTGGCAGTAGTTAATAAAATGAAGATATTATAAACACAGTTTATCTATATTAGGTCAATGAACAAATGACTTTGTTAATGAAACACAATAAATGAGTGGCAAAGAAGCACTTGGTTTGAAAATACATAAAACGTGTACTGTAACAAGCATGAAAGAGGAATTTTTTTTAATAAAAAAGAAATTAAAACATGATATATTATATGACATAAACAAATGTAACAAACTTAACAGAAGACTCCCAAAGAACTATGGGCACTTTTTTAGAACTAAATCCAAAGTCAAAACATTTGGAAAGAAGAACGCACGCAATACTTACGCATCAGCACTTTTTTAGAACTAAATCCAAAGTCAAAACATTTGGAAAGAAGAACGCACGCAATACTTACGCATCATCAATGAATTTTGCTGCAATGACCACACTTGTCATTAGCTACCGATGAACATTGAGCTAAGAAAGATGGACACCTGGTTGCACGAGGTATATGTCATTGTATACATGTGCAAGGAAAAATTAGGAATGGCTACAATTTGAGTACTTGAATATGCGCTCAGTGTAACTTTGTCTACTAAGATCCTGTGCTCTGAGACCATGGCCAATGGTGTCATTAGCTTTCCTAGTCGTAGAATCCGGCGAACTCTCATTCTTTTGAATGGTCTTCTTGAGAACTGAGAATAATAGTGACAGAACTTGTGGAAATTCATAATCTCCTTTCCCTGATTCACTAAGCCCTAAAAATCTATAGTTCCATTGGTCTATTGACTCGGTTTCAACTGTCAGAGACCCTATATATAGTCAAAAGATGTCCTGAAAGAATAAATTACTGAAATGTTATGTAAATTCATCCAGGGTAGAGAATCTACTCGTTACTCAGAATTTCAACTATTGGTTTGTTAATATATGACTTCCACAAGTAATGCTCTAAAACAAACGAATGCATTGAAATTCTGTCATGAGCATTTCTGCCAATCAGAGAGTCAACATTCACCATAAAGGAAAGACCAAATAAAAGATTTTAGGCTGAAAGAGCTAAGCTAATCAACCTTTACTTCAGATTTCTTCACCGTATTTATCATGAACCGATCATTCTGTGTCAATTGGAAGAAGCTCCCACTCTTTCCTGGAGATGAAAGCTCTTTCAAGGCATCATTCCCACAAATGGTCATCATAAAATTTGCCGGATCCACCTTAAACAACTTCCTCAAATGCCTAAGCACAATCATGGGGAAAAAACTTGTTATTCTGCACAATAAATCAAAGGCAGTATGGACCTGTCTTGGTAGAAACTATAGTTAAATCCTAGGACAACATGAAATCTGTAATATTTTAAGGCACAAACATTTGTAAGAATACTTCAGTAATAAGTATATTGGTAAATTATTCTATTTGATCACATTCCATGGTCTGTATATTTTGCAGAATTGAGTAATTTGATCATGCTGCTTAATTCTTAATTACAGACCCATAATTTTGTTCCAAGAAAATAATCATTGCTTTGGTGTATATCAGTCACATATAACCATCTCTGTATATTTTTGATGTAACTATTCTAAGCTTCCTATTAATTAGCCACGCACATCTAGAAACATTTTGAGATTCATGAGTAATGTTCTAATATATGCATTGCTAACGACATGCACTTGCAGTACGCTCTACAGACATGGGTGGTAAATGAAAATTTTCACGAAGTGATATGGCAATAAGTGGATCAAATGTATGGAAGCATATATAAGGATGAGGAAATCATCCCCCCCCCACCCCCCACCCCGTTTTAAAATTGAATTTAAACTTGATTTGCGTTATATGATATGGTTCACTGTGTTAGCCTATATGAAACACAAGACCATTGAAAACTCCCCATGTCCAAACCATCCGAAAAATTCTTGATAAGATTGAATGGTAGGTTAGCTATCAATTTATGATGGCATAGCCACCATTCATTGAAAGTTTGTTACAACTAAGTATGCGATGTTAATATGTTATTTGCTATTTCTCTGCTAATGTTTTTATTTTCATGCTTAGCTTCTGATTAGAATTGATGTTTTAGCTGCAAAAACAGTATAGCCCTGCTTTGTTACTAAATGAAAGATAGAAAAAGACATTGAGATACTGCAACCCTCTTATATAATGTCATTAGGGTCAGGTTGTTGTTTGAGACATGGATTAAGACGTCAGAAGTAAATAATAAAACAATAAACATTAAGATCTGATTGTCATTGTTGAAGCGAGTAGTCACTATGTCCTGATGCAGAGTATGTCATCAATATAATTTTTTTATATTGTCAATTGATGGATATATCAGTGAGGTTTTGATGCTGACTGTTCAATAATTTTTGGAACCATTCATTACAAAGGAAGATTCCAATTATTTAAATAGTTGATATATGCTCAATATTATTATGATCAAGAAAATCAATTTGAACATATTTCCAAAGCGAAAGTATTGTTGATAGGATATGCACATTAACATAGAATTGTCAATTATCACCAGTGACTTGGATAGAAAGATTCCCAGAGCTAGCATCCATAAAGTCACAAGTGTAATTTTATCTAACAATTTGGAGTTAAGTACTATCCTTCAAGAAAATTTATATCAATTTCAATAGAATCAATTTGAATACATACCTTAAGAGCATATGAAAAGCC